CAACACCCAAACGCCCACACCAACAGGCGCCACCCCAGCCCGGCTCACTTACATCAACAAAGCCACCAGAAACAGGCACACCGGCTGCACCCACTTACACGCGCAGCCAACACCACCACCGCCGCGCCGCAACCAACTCTGGTTTCCAAAAGGGGGTATATCAAGGCCATCACTGCCCTTGAGACCTCGCTGGTCAACGGAACCAGCCCTACTCACCAAAATCTCGCGTCAAAGCACGCTCCTCACTCACACAAAAAACACACACAAAATGTCCTACGGGTCATACAGCTCCACGTCGGCCATGGAGATCCCATCGCGCCGGAGCGGCTACCACAACTCATACCTCGACGAGTCCTGCGCATTCCCAAGCTGGCCACGGCGGGTTTCGCTGGGCGAGCACTGCAACGACCAGCCACGCGCAACATCCTACATCTCGGACGAGGACCTGCTCTTCCTCTCAGAGCCCGTCTTCGCCGACGAGGACACGCACTCGGTCTCCAGCTACGGATCCGGCACCCCATCACCACGCCTCGCCCCAGTCCGCCACATGGGCGGCGCCGAGCTCGAGGAGATGAGGCGCGAGCAGGCCCTCCGCCAACAGGAGCTCATGCGCTCCGTCATGGCCGAGAAGGAGCAGAGGCGACAGGCCGCGAAGGCCCACAAGCAGCGCAAGTCCAGCTCCAAGAAGGCCTCGAGCCCCCGATCCAAGCTCTCGGCCATGACGCCCATCGCTGAGGCCGTCGAGTAAGGGAGTCACCGATTCGAGAGGCGGGCTGCCTTGCTGACAGCAGCCTCCCTCCCGTGGCGATGGACGCACTCGTACAGCGTACGTATAAGCTTACTCACATTCCCAAATTTGTCACTCTCACCCTTCGCCCACGCCCTGCACCCCTCGCACTCACTTCCCACCGTACTGGGCCGAGTGTTGCACAACTACCACCTTGATCCCGAGGGTCCTTTTGCCTGCAGATTGCCTCCCACCATCTTACCCGATCACAAATCCACCCTCGCATCCCCTGTCGCCGCCAGAGATGACTCCGGATGATATGGGAGCTTGCTTGCTGACAGTCATCGCAGTCTTACTCATTTATCGGGTCCATCCTTCAGTGAAACCCCCCAACATCCTCATGTTCTAATTCTATTTGACCCAACCCGACACTCCGTTGGCACCCCACGGATCCAGAAAGCCCCCATTCCGCGGTGCATCTGCCTAATCTTCTGGGCTCTCATTCAACCGCCACCCTGTTTCTTGTTCTTCGGACGTTACACCTTTTACTTTACGATGCACCTCTGGCGGAGGCAGCAGCGATGATGACAAAACCCAAGGCACCACACAAGACGCACACGCGGTTCTTGGTTGTGGTGTCGTGCAAAGGTCATCAGCCACTGGGTCATCTGCTTTGGCCTGGAGGACGACACACCTGACTTGGTTCCCCACGAAACACGCGCAGCCTGCCGAGACTCACCCACCGGGTGCGACCTGGCGTCGATCTCTGCCAATTTGGGGTTACCCGGATCTGGCCCTCGCCTATTTCACCTCTCTCCCTTGTCGACCCTTTCGGCAAACCGGGCTGGCACGCGGCGGTGTGCGCCGCGGCGCGACCAAGACCAGCCATCGGGATGGAACGGGCTGCGACTTGCGGAGGTGCGGAGGAGCCCTCCCCTTCCCCCACACGGTTACACATTTCAGCCGGATCTCCATCGGGATTTCTTTCCTGCTTTCAATCAAACACCCCAAACTTAAGCTTCCGAGGCTTTGGGGTCGGCTGTGTCACCCGCACCAGCCTGGGCTGGCCTCGGGCGGGCTCGGTCATTTCATCCACTCACTCATTCTCGCTCTCGCTCATCGGCTGGGCGGCGGCTTTGCACCACCAACCAAGCAACCAAAGCAAAGCCTACCGCCGCGACAACAATTCGCAAGCACATTCGAGGATGCCACCTTCTTGTAACCGCCTAGCCGAACTCTTTCCAACACAGCCGTGTCGGCTAGGAGAGAGTCGGGATCGTACTTTTGGAATTCACTTCTTTTTTCCCATTTGCTCGGATATGCGATGACGGTTAGGGACAGGGAGACACAGAACATATCACACACATGGAGTTTAGGATCTGTCACCTCATCACAGGGACACTCGAGGGGATATTTGCATCATCATGGTTTTGGTTTATCAAGCGAGCGATTTTCTGTCTTATTTCTTGTCTTTTTTACACATAGCTAGGAGTTCATGTTTGAAGGCGCACACAGAGGAGACGGACACACAGACAACTGTTCCGTCATCCTCGGCGTTGGTCCTTCTCTGCATCCATCCTGGCATCTTGTTTAGGTAGTCTTAGCATTTCGGTAGATACCCCCCGCCCGTCACCTCGAGTGCACGCGAGCCTTGATAGCGATTCTTTCAAATCATATTGATCACACACACACACACACACACACAAGCTTCGATTTAAAAGGCCCTTCTCGTGTTCCACCTGTGACATGATACCAGCCTAGGGAATATTTCCGGCCAAGTTCCTCCTAGGGCAGCTCCCGAGGACTCGCAGCTCTTTCCCCGCCGGTGCCTCTCCACCCGAGCGCTAACGGGCATCCGCACCGACACAGTGTTGGCGCCTCTGGGATCCTTGTGTGAGTCGATTCACACTCATCAGCGACGGGCATATAGGCAAGGCGCGCATCACTGAATTTCCCGCGCTAGAGCCGCTGCGGGTTTTGAAGTGTGGTTGATGGGGTCGGCATTTATGGAGGATGTACTTAGTACGCCCTACAGTGTCTGTTTATTCATGCATTACATGTGCTTTGGTGCCGCTTCCTACACATTGTGGGGTGAACGACTTTGATACCTGCTCGGCAGAAACCGTACCCCGGCCGTGGCCCTCCATCACCACACCTACTCCCTTTGTCAAGTGGCCTCATGATTCTCCCTCCGGGTTGAACGGTCAGACTCATAAGTAGTCTACTTTAGTAAGAAACCCAGTGATGGGTATAATATCCAAGGCAGCATCTGTGAAGGCAGATGGCCACCGTTTTTCTTCAGGCAAATGGCTATTGTCTGCGCCTACAACATTGACAATGAATATTCTTCAAGCGAATGGTGACCAGAACCATTCTATACCATCATCTTGTTTTAAGGATCTCATAGCTAGATGACATTACAGAATGGGTTCTCAAAATATTAATCTGAGACATTCCAGAGGACAAAGTCAAGACTCTTTTCGACGATAACCTCGTGCAAGTGACCGACAAAGCACGGTTTCCCACCAGAAATTGCATTGAACACAGCCTCTGGAATGATTTAGAAGATGTAAACAGTCCTGAAGGCTTGAAGGGTCGGCGGCGACGACAAAATCTACTTACAAATGACTCAGAGTATCCAAGCCAGGAGACTTGTGCACCATGAGCCTTAAGACTGTCGCTGTGGAGTGACTACAAGGTGCTACAATGTGATCATGGTGTCTCGGATAAAGCAAGGCTTCTAAGTTCATATGTTGTTGTTGATACCATATGAAGCCTCTGTTTGTTTACAATCTACAATCGAGCATCGTAATACCGGGCTCAATTTGTGACACAAGACTCAGAAGATGTCCTGGAGACTTACGGAACTGACAGCGGTCGAATCACAAGAGAAACTTTAGAGCAGCAGGTGATTAGTCCCAGTAAATCGGTCAAATCATCGAGGCTTGCTTTAGGAGCTTCTATGATTCTATCTCGAAATCCAGGCGACTGATGACTTTGGTCTGCCACATACTCCTGTACGCAGAGAATTTTCCATCTCCTCAAGCACCAATCTGCTAAGCCGTGATGCGGAAATGTCGCAAAAGGCGTTTAGAGAGCCGCCCTGATTGAAAAGGACCAAGAGATCCTCGCTTCCGAACTCCACCAGGAGATCATTTCGCCAATTGACAAATTGCCATCGCATACCTTCTCGCCATCCCAATCCCTTTCCAACGATTCCTTGACATTTGCCAGATTCATGCCGCGTTATGAGGACCAGAGAACTAGGGTCATCTGCAGGAATCCAACAAGAAAACAAACACCAGTCCCCTGGCTCAGCAACCTCTGGCAAAATGATTGCAAGATCTGCTTCGAAGAACCCATTCCTTACCATGTCAACCTCTTGGGCATGGGAAACTGAGGGCTGGAATTGGACAATTTTTTATGAATTGTACTTCCCAGGTTCCAAGCTTTCTTTCCAGCTGGAAGCCCGCGAAGCGCCAATAGGACCGAACGCGGCACTGATGCGCCGAAAGTCCAAGATAGGGCCAATCGCGGTCCATGAAAAATGGGGAAAACCGACGGGAGTTGATGGCACGAGCGAGGCCACTGTCAGGGTCGCAAAGGCGCAGATTGTCGGAGATCATACGGAGTAGTGCCCAAGCAACACCAAAACGGATTGTCCTGCCTTGCTGCAATATTCTGACCAACACCTTGCTGGCCAGAGAAAGAGAACTCGACGTGTAATCCGGGTAGATTGGCTCCTCACGGCGACGACGCCAATTCACCATGGAAAGGACAGCGTAGACCTTGTCCCTAGGGTCAGCGCACTCCAGAGGTAGAACGTCACCCATGAGTGTTTGCAGGCTCTCGTTCTCACTGCTTGAGCATAAGAACGCACCTGCGCGGAGAAGTGGCCAGGATTTATCTATGATCTCGTCGCTCAGGCATCTGAGGTGTTCCATGGCCAGGAGCATTCCGTAGAGTGAATAGAGCGGTGTCCTTGTCCTCCCGCAACACAAGACGATGTGCCGTCCAAGGACAACCTCCTGATAGACCCAAGTCCGCGAAAAGCAACCTCGATCGAGAAATCTCTTCATAGCTGGGATTAGCCTGTCCATGTTGTCGTCCTCCTGCGTTGCCCATCGTCTGGCAAGACTGGACCATTTTGGGGACTCGTCCGCAGGCCGCGACATGAAGAGTGACCGCAGGCTCCTACTATGCGAGCACCAATCGTTGGTAGCCGACGCAGCGATGCTGTCCATGGTGCTTGCATGCGTGCGAAAGGCATGGATTAGGACCGGGCTACCGTGCGCGTGTGGTCCGACGCATGCGAGAACAAGAGAACAATCTGCGCATTCCGATAGATGTCCCCCATCATGTAGACGTGGTGGCCCTTTTCATCGTCGTTCGTCTGGTCTATGCAGATAGCGTCGCACCAGCTGTAGCGAGCGCCACCGTAACAAGCCGACTGCTTAGGAGCATACTCGCAGTTCCGCCGGACTCGCATCCGCCGGTCGTTGACGAGGATCGTCACTGTGTCGCCTAGGCTGCCCCAGACATAGGAAATCGCATGGTACGAGGGCGTGGCCTCCTCACGCACAGTGTTGAAGAGGATTGGCGATTTCTTTTTGGGATTGAAGCGTCGCGCAGTGAGTTGGCAGTGAACCTCGATGCCTTCAATGGCTTGCGCATCATCAACGAGGAGGACCTGGAGCAGCCCGATGTAGTTGCGTGGGTCTTGCAGAGGTTCGTGATGAAAAGTGGGAATATCCGAGTCTTCCTTTGTGCTCATCCCCGACGAGCCCAAACTATACGACCCTGGCTCGACGTGTTGTACAGTTGCTGGCTTGCTCATAGTCTAGTGCCTGAGAACACCCAATGACGTTCACCGGTAGCATGAAAGTGTGTCTGAAAATAAACAAAAATCCCAGGAGATCAACTTGAGACTGTTTGCCGCTTCAAGAGCCGAGTAATGAATGCTCGTCCTTCAGAGATGCAGGTAGTGCTGCAGCACATTAGCGTTTCCTGTGAGCCACAGTCTGCGAGACCTGCGCCATCCATCAACGGCTGCCTCCACCCCTTTGCATCGCACCTCATAGCCCCACCGGGGTTCTCAATCGCTTCGTGATTCGTTGTATCAACTGAAAGTGTTACGGTGGGCCTGGCCTGGAGCAAGAGGTTGTTGGCGAGTACCTGGCTGATTCTACTCCAGCTCCTCGGGGAAATGCGGCATCCTTGTCAAAGCCTTATCAAGAAAGCTGAGCTTGGATATGGTATTGATCAAAGCACGGTGAAGATCAACTCTTGTTGGCTGTACTCTTCTGGCAGGGTATTATTTGCCGGAGGAGGTGGTGTTGAACGTACTGCGGACTTTGGCTGCGGGTCCCGAGGTCTTCAGTTACACGGGGACACCACATTTCCATTCCATTAGGAGGCTTCTGGTACATAAGGACATTGCGCTTGCGGCTAGGTGTTGCTTTTCCTACTTCATAGCCAATGGACCCAGCTCGAGGAAGACTGACTGCTCTGACAGACACATTTAGCCAAGTCTTTCGCACACAAGATGCCATCACTGCTTGATAGAGAATGAAGTACAGGTTGAGAGACGTGGAGGTGGAGCCTCAAGCCGGGCCCCATCGCCGTAGCCTGAAGAGTCTGCCGATGGCTACGTCGGCTGCTGTTTCCATGAAAATGCCACTATGTGTGAATAGGGAGAGTAGTACCGTCTGGGAAGCCATCACATTGTCCAACTCAGTGACACCTTTTCGAGCGGCGGATTCCGCGTGATCCGTAAACCGGACACGACTCCTTCGCTACCGTGTGGCTTGCTCTTGACGGTCTTTTAGTTGATCTCTTCCTGGCCCCTCATAAGCTATCAGCTCGCTGGCTAACGCCCTAACTTGTCAGCTCCAACGACTTGGTGGCAATGAAGGCTGCCTTCGTGAGGCTTGACCCGGCTACCCTCGGAAGGCAATTGCATATGTACAACGAGCTGGCCAAGGTGGCATTAGATTCAGCCACCTCCCATTATTTCGTCGGGCTACGAGGACGCTTCCAGCTTGACTTGAAGGGCCTAATGGTCGAAACAACTGCCTGTCTTTGAGCCCCTGGGGCCAGGCCTTTCAACCACTATCCGTCGCTCACCAGTGTGTCAATTTGGCCAACCTCGGGACGATCACTTCTATCAATGCTTCCCTTTACAACTCGCCAAGAAGGTCCTTCCTGAAAACATGCTGGTCAGCATCCCCGTCCACTAAAGGACTGCAAAGCTGGCGCCATTGAGAAGTTGCAGCAGATACATGGCGAGCGAGAATCATCACAACGGTTTGACGGCAAGGTTGACCTCTGGGCACATTCCTATCTAGTCCATTCCGCAGGCCTCCTGGAATGCGTCTCGACTGAGCTTGAACCCTTTGTTAACCTGACCGACCTCGGTGGCTGTGAGTATGAACACTCCCTTATCATCTATCATCCTGGAGACGGGCTTATCTTGCGTGCAGATGCAATGAGGCGCTGCGACGTATGAGCAGCCTTCCGCTCCAACGAAAGCCCGACCAAAATCACAACGCCTCGAGCCCTGAGAGCACCGGAAACGATCCTTACACTTCCGGTTCGGCCAAAAGTCGATGTCTGGAGCCTCAGGTGCGTCGCTTTTGAGCGGCTTACCGGCTATGCCCTAGTTGGCCTGAAATCGTTGCTCATGGAAGACGATCCAAAGACGATCGACGACGAGCATCTCATCAAGCTGTCGGATTTTATCGGCCGTCTGCCGGCCGGTCTTTTCAGCTCTTGGAGGCGCGGGTCTAAATACTTTGGCCCGGATGGAAACGCCTGATCGTCGCGGCAGAAAGAAATGTTGACGAGGAAGATGTGCACTACGAGTCTGGCATGCAAAGCCTAAGTGGAGGAGATAAAGATGATGATTCAGACGCGGACGGCGACATGGAATCCGGTGACTGTCCACAGACTTCAGACGGAGGCTGCGCGGGGGACCCATTGGCATCCACTCAATTTTCCGGTCCTCTCGAAAGAATGATCCATAAATGGAATCCAGACGGCATAACGAGTCGGAGGAACGGGATAATGTGCATCTGCTGCGGTAGATTATCAAATTCAAGGCCGAGAAGCGGCCAGCGGTGATGGTTACTTACGACACAAATGGTTCTAGGAATGAGCTCGGACTACTACGCTCTTCAGAAACAACGCAAAGACGGAAATCCGCTTTTTGACTTCACATCTGGGCTTCTGGGAGTCTGGATTGGAGATCATAATCTTTCAAGGTTACTAGTAGAGCCCAGAAACAACGCCGCCCTTGATTTGCCGTTGATGTTTCTCATCGGTCGATTTAAAAAAGCCAGGGTGAAGTTGACAATGATTTCTCTCCAGCTTTGTACCTGCGATAACTACGATCCAGCACCCACTGAGTGTAATGCCACAGCCTGTGAATTCGATGGCATGATTAAGGAGGGTACCTCCCACACAAGTCACATTTTGGCGCCGAATTCCTCATCCTGGGCGCTAACGGCATCCTTTCCGACCAGGGCTTCCGCTGATCAGGGTGTGCTTGTTCATCCTTCGTCCCAACCATCCTTGGTCCCCGGCGCCACCCACTGTCATCACAATCAATGGCAAGCCGTCAACATGCCTGCTAGCCACTCTGGCCCGTCAGGCCCTGTTCAACGTCCTCGCCCAGCGTGCCGCACGGATCGGGAAAGCCGCTCGTAAGTCACATGCCAAGCCTGCAGATGTCACCCTTGGCCGGGATCCTGGGCAACGGCCGGGCCCAAAGTGCCTGTTGGCTTATTCGTCTGTTGTTTTCGCCCTTCACGCCAAATTCAATACCGGGGCTGAGGGGCGAAAATCATCAGGCTCGTAATGTGATGGGGGCTGTCACAGGCCTCCCCGGGGTCCGCCAACGGGCAGAGGGCATGGGCGCAGCTACCCGCCTTGCTTCCGATCAGGCAGTGATCCTCGCATGCCTCGTACCCAGCGTCGGTTCGAGTGCCGCCGTGGTTGTGCCCGATGTCAGAGACGACTTCTTCCGGCCTGGGGGTCCGCCTCGACTCGCCTACTGAGTAAGTTGATGGCGGACCCAGGGGGCTGGCTGTAGAAAGTCTCATGGCCGATCCGCCCTTTGTCACGATTTCATCTGTGCCAAGAGCTCCGAGGCTGGAATGTTTCGTGCATGACCCAAGCCGCCGCTGAGCTGTATCACAACCTCGCCGGTATCAGGCTATCAAGTTCATTAGCAACAGGAAGTGAGCGCCTGGCTTGCGAAACGATCCATTACCTGTTCCTTCCTGGTTGCGGGCCCTGGTCCCCTATTGAGCATTCCTTAGATGCCTTCATCGACCACGATCTCGTTTCATAGATCTCGCAAGAGTAGATTGTGGTACCATCAAGAAAGTCCAATACAAAAGGACTCAAAATAGGCAGTGTTATATGCGACCCTGGAACCCGCAGACACTTTACCAGGCTCTTCCCAAATGTCTGTGTCATCGTCCCGGCCACTATCAGAGACCATGTTTGCTTGAGTTAGTCAAAGCTTCATACCGTTGATCGCCCGTTTAACAATCATCGCTGAGCTGGTAGCTATGTAATCAGATGTATGAGCAGGTATCCATCTAATACTGTCATGTAATATACGGGGAATCACTCTTACGCAGGCTCAATACCCGAAAACATTCACCTTTGACCACCTTGTGAACCTGGTCAAGATCAAGCCGCCTTGAAGGTGTTGTACCGACGGCTTCAGAGGGCTATCACTTTTCTCTCAGATTTGACCCTGTTGCCATTCGTGCCATTTTTTGATGTCACGAAATTACCTGTAACGCCCTGTCAAACTTATTCCTAATAAGCATATTCCCCCACCCCCCTTAAGACTTTTTAACCTGGCCCATCCCCACATTCGACTCATCTCCTGGTGGAGATCGCGTCGGCTTCCGTTGAGGCGGTCTTTACCATTGCCAATCAAATCTGCAGCACGGTTGGCATGTATCGCATGGCTCATCAGTGATATTCCCCTCAGGGTCTCTCGGTAGGCTACTGCGCTTTTCGTCATTCCTCATCCTGGTTTCTCCCATCTCATAATCCAGGGTGTCCAGATTCCACCTGGAGTTTAGAAGAGTCGGTACAAAACAGGTCGCTGGGATCACATACACCGGAAAACACTGAATCAGCACACGTTCTCAGTATGATGATCTGCTTGGGGCCACTTACGCAGTTTCGCCAAGTGACGCTGGAGCGCGTGCATGTAATCCAAGCTCTGAATGTTGTCATTTGATCAGCAAAGTATTTTGCAAGTTGCCCAAAAGACAACTCTAGAATTGACCACCATCCATGCGAGTATGATCTAGGCATCATCCTGGAGAGACAGAGTAGCTTAGCATGTGGCAGTTGATGTTCCGCACTATTCACTCCCGCTATGGCCCTGGTAACCAGAATCGACAGCTTGACCGACCCATCTGTGAATCAGGTTGATACATTCTTGGTGTTTGCCACAGAAGTACATGACATGTACAGAGTCGCCCACTGCTGTATTACTGTTGGTCTGTCAAGCCGGACAGGTAAGCCATCAGCGACTGGCTTCTTTTCACCATAATGAGAGAGTGACATACAAGAGCGGTATTGGGAGTAATCTTCATTCTGAGGTTGTATGAATTCGATGAAAGCGGGCAACGAGCGCCTGTGCGTTGCCTGTTGTCTGTAAACGGGTTTGGAGACACAATTATTCGTAGACAAAACGTCTTTTTCACTTTCAGTTTCTAATGATCATAAAAAACTACGATACCAGCTAGACACATCCTTCAATATAAGATCAAGAATAATCACAATTGTCAACATCATCACGTCTCCACCCAAATTTCTTGCGCAGGTGTGTCGAGTTGACTACAGTGCTGGCTTGCCGACTCAAGCGTTGACGGTCTGTGAGGGAACGAAAACCATGCTTCCGAAACATGCCTGCGAGAAAGCTATAGATCTTGCAAAAATCCAAGTTCGTCGACATACCGCAACTGTACGTCGATTTTCTCAAAGAGGAGAGCTTGCTTTAGCAGTGATGCGACCTCGCACACTACGAAGAAATCCATATTGTGACAGTCTTTAAACTCTTTTCTTATTGTTTTTACCATCCTTCTTCATAATTGTTACTGGGGGACTGGCTGGTTGTGAACTTTTGTTGTCTGCTGCATATCTCCACGCAAGAGCGATGCCTCCCGCCTGTACCACAGCAGTCCAGCAGCCACAATTTTACACCTGTTTGCAAAAGCAAGAAAATTCAGAAACAGGTGCCTGAGAATGAGACAGGGCAGTCTTGACTTGAGGTATGGGCCGGAGGAGCCGGAAGAAATTGATATGAACTTTTGGAGCGACGCACTCATTTGGGGCTGGAAAGACGAGCGAAAGAGAATGTGAAACTCCAACATTCTTTTGTACACTGTAGCAGGCTATGTTCAAATCTGCATCTTGGTGCAAATCCAGTGCCAGGTGTGAATTGTTGATTCATGAGTATCGTTCATCGCATGGATGCCCATTGTGTCCATTATCAAGTAGCACTCAGGAATCATGGAAGCTTGAGTATCTCGACGCCGAAGCGAATACTGGTACTTGGGATTTGGAGCATGGCATGAATCGGTGTCGACTTGAAGCGAGCACTGAAACTAGGGGCGTGCGGCATGCACAGTGATTAGGTAGCTGTTGTCCAACCACACGGTTCATGCCCCTTGGGGAACCACAGGAGAGCTGCAGGCACATGTTCAGCCACCACAAGACAACAGCTTTGAGCTCCTCGACAAGACAATGTCGCCGATTCCGGACTAAGAGTGATGCTCCCGTTGCATGACTCTGAAGAAAGAAAAAACCAAACCCAATCAAGACACTCGCCTTCAATCCGACTATCCAATTTGTTGTTTCGTGTTCAAGTCCGACGCCAGGACGTCGAACGTGTGTGAGGTAATCTAGGCCGGACAGCCACCTGAGATGATGGAGGGTCACAAATTCCTGGGCCCGTTGTGTGCCGTATCTACATCGACCGTGTGGATTTGCTACAGTTGAAGATCGAGCGTGATGGTGTGCCACAATGTGTAGTGGTGTCCTGCCTGGCTTGTTGGTCTAGGCAATCTCGCAGTCTCTTTCTGTCCTGGCACCCATGAGATCCGGGGAGTTCTTAATGGAACTTGATATAATCGAGCAGGCGCGGAATGCGGAAATCCCCCAACGTCGCAGTCGGGAGGGCTGCGTCTAGTGCAACAACGGCAGAGCCATCAGTCTTCGTAGCTGGTCCTCTAGCCTAGCAATCCCCAAAAGTCGCTTGCCGGTCGCATGCAGACACCACTAGCATGCATATTCATGCCTCATGCAACCAACCCACGAGCAAGACACATCCATTTTCTATTCGTGGACTCGAGGGGGGGGGATCCCAATTGACGAGTTGGGTCCAGACCTTTGAGACTGGGGCGGGACGCCCATCAGCCACTCGCACTTGACGAGCCTCGAAAGCTGCAAGATGTGCGGGGTGATGGGTTGAGGTAGGTCCGAGAGTGTCAGATTGTGGCGTGCTGTCCTTGACAGTCATCACATGGGAGATCCAATTGTCAATGGAGGACTCTCGGGACCAGATATCCTATAGATTGTGACGCGGCAATCTCCGCAGCCACCGACGACCGAGTGGGTGGTGATTGTCAAACCCATGCCGGGCAACCCAGACGTCAAAGGCACCTACCTGCCTGCCCGCCAGTCCTGCCGACAAAAGCAGTCGTGATGGCTAATTCTGAGAAATTGTCAAGACGTCAGTAGTCACAATCTTTCCCTTCGGACCTCAGGACGTTCAGGTGTCTGCAGGATGGCACATGCCGTCAGCTTCTGCATTGTGGTTGGCAGGGGATAGGGTGGGCATTGGCGAGATTGGACGACGAGCTCCCATCCTGGCAACAGGCTCGACCAGACGGCTGCAGAAGAGCTCCTATCCCGGAAGGTGAGCTCCTTGGTCCCCTCGACGGGACTACCCCGGCCGGCCAGGCGTAGATGCACCTCGGGAAGCTTTTGCTACCCTGCGAGTGAAAGTTGCCGGCCACCCAATGCGATGGTAGGGAGTCTTGGGATGATCGGGGATTCCTGAAATCGCCAATTGTGTCTCGTGGGCACAGCGGGCACAGCGCCGGCAGCCACGTTTCCAAAAGAAAAATTCAAAAAGAAGAATGTTTGACGCCATTGAATTGCCAGCTCACTGCGCAGAATTCTCTACCAAGTCAGAGCAGCAGCGGCCTGCAGAAATCATTGCTTTTCTGGGACGGCATGTCCCATCATCAATGGCCGGGCCCCTGTTCAACTTGCTGTACGACATGGCTCCGTGCCGTACACCCCGCGCGTCAACGGCAGGAGACAAGGTTAAACTCCTCAAAGGATGGAGGGTGAATGCACGTAGCCTGCAGGTTCTCGGTCCCGCCAGGTCCTTCCCGAAGACCGAAGCGAGATATAGTTATCGAGAATGGATGGACGATATCGTGTGTGGGTTGCGCCAGGAGGAGAGTGTTCCTGGGATTGCCAACGGGACATCTGATGCTAGTGATCGCCGGCCTGAGCGTGGACATCATAGCACCTCGTCTCCGAGCTTCTTGTGAGCCATTTTGGAGGTGCTTGAGAGGTGTCCACCATGGTCTAAAAGCTGAGTGTTGCAGACAAGCGATGCATCTGGTCATAGTTTCTTTCTGAAACACATGAGAAGCTACGTAATACGATTAGCTTCAGCCGTGCTCAGACTAGGCTTGATATTTCTAGAATCTGTCGAACAGCATTCGAGCAGACGAGCTGCAAGGCACACAAGGCACAAGTGCAGAAAACGAGGCTTAGAGGGACAGGATCGGCTCTCTCCAACGGGAAGAAGCTGATCTGAGCACGCAATGGGACGCGCTGGTGATACGTGGGGTTGATGTAGGCAGAGTGACGATGCTTTATGCTGTGGCACGTCGTGCCACTTCATGTGCACCCAAAAGAAGTCTAGTCCAAACGTGCTTGTCCTGACAGTTTACTGACCGACCAATTGACCATGTAAGCACTGTAAGCTGTGTTACCACCAACTTGGTCTGGTCAGGGCTTGTGAGAGAGGGCAACAGGCTGCGGAACCCAGAATCAGAACCGCAGGGCATGTCAATGAGCCACACACTGAACGTGGGACAGCGAGCCAGTACCCCAGGCTTGGGTCAATGGTCTGGGCGCTGTCTTTGACACAACGACGGGATGGCTGTTGAACGGCCTTGGAACGTGTGGCAGCCAACAGAGAACCTGCGCAACCCGGGGGAGCAGAGTGTGGAAGTTATACACCAGAAATAACCTCACCTGGTGGCCGCGGGGTACCGTGCTAGCGGCCCCGAGTCCTGCAGGGCACGCCGAACAAGGTAGCAATGCATAAGTGTGCTCAAGGTACGAGAGGAAAATAAAGTATTCCCACTCCATCAGCTTGCCGTGGCTCCAGGGCCCATGCGGGCGTAGTTCTCCATGCACGCCTGCACAAACGGCGTAGCGAGATGGAGGGCAGAGGCGTGCTTTGCTCAGCATCGGTCTGTCGACCAGGATGCTGAGCCGGGACATTGATACCGTGCAGGGGCACACGCACTAACGTGTCTTGAGAAACATTGCATGAGATTGTGAGCTAGAAGCGGGCCGTGGAAAGTCAATTGGTAGAGGTGAGGCCCAGGGGACGGCGCAGTCCGCGATGTTCGGATTGCTGCCCCGAGATGGTAGCGCCCTGGAGAACCCACGACGAGAACGAATGGCAGCAGCGAGACGGCTCTGGAGCTCGTCGGTGCCGGGAGCTAGCGGCCAACCGTTGAGAAGCCGGCGCCGGCGTGGACACCGGAAGATTGGGCCAGGGGCGTTTTGATGGAACCGGCGAGGAGCTGCGATGTTATTAGCTCCAGGTGGCTGTCTGTCGGTGCATAAACAGAAACAGCTCGGCTGTTTTATCACACCAGGCACAGGGTCCCAGTCTGGGCGGGCACCCTCTGGGGCCTGCGCCTGTCCCTCGTCGAAAACGGCAATGGTGTTGTGTTGTGTGGTTGCATGGCAGGGCGAAGTGGGCGTCTCAATCTAAATCAAGCTGACAAAAGGGTGTCTGTGTGCTCAGGGCCGCCAGCGAAGCCATCCTATAGGCTGGATGTGTCATGACTGGCCCCTGGCCACTTTGTGGCTTTGTCAAGATTCCTGAATGCAGTTGAATGCGGTGATATGCAGCCAAATGCAGAGACACCGTGGCAACCGCGGTACCGGGCAGGCGAGCGGTGGGTTCTATGACACCGGGGAGCTGGAGATCTGGAGTTGGAGCTGGAGCTGGACCCGGAGCTGAAGATGGACGGCGAGACATGCAGGCAGAGCTCGTGGGCATCTGTGGCAGTGTCTGCCGTGTTTGTTCGCTGGAGAAGCCGTGCGGGAGGAGCAGACACCCACGGAATGCAATATACCCTGTGCCATTGGATGTGGTGGTAAAGGGTTTGTGAGAGATGCACGAGTGGTTGTGCAGCTGGCTGCAGTGTCAGCAGCAGTGTATGCCAGTCAGTGGACGGGGCGAGACATGACCGCCCGATGGACAGGAGGCAGGTATCATGGCCATGTCGATACACAGTAGAACGAGTGGCAGTTGTGGGTTGTTGGTCATTTGTGCCGGCAACCGGGGTCCAAGGTTGGATGATGAAAGCTGAAGCAGAGCGGCAGGCGCAGCGGCAGGCGCAGGCGCAGCCCCAGCATAAATGGCGATGACGATGACAATGACAACGGCGATGATCAACGAACGGTCAGCATCGTGCCGCGCGGGAGCTCGACGATGGTCACGAGGCCTCGATCTCAGCAGGGACCTCTGGTGGCGCTGAACCAGCTGATATGGCACGGCGTGGACGCAGGCGATGGCATTGGCATTGTGTCAACTCGAGGTTCGATGTCGATCAATCAGTCAGCTCCGAGGTTCGGCAAGGAACGGAGGGGGTTAGCAAGGGCTGGGAAGGAGCCGGGGACGACCGGGGAGGAGCAATGGAAGGAGCGAGCGGCCGAGTCGTGGCAGACAATGGGTGACTGATGAAATTGATTGTGAGTGAGTGAGCGGATCAATCAACGATGGAAACAACGGCCTTGTTGATTGATAGGGCAAGGGCGGCGGGCAGGGTTTGAGGGAAGGCAGGCCGAGGGAGATGAGGGAGCCAGGACATCCCTGCGGGTGCAGGCCCTGCAGGACCCCGGTCGAGGTGATGAGAAAAGGCGGCCTTGCACGGTGATTGGCATCCCGTCCCCACCTCCCTGCAAACAAGATGCTCACCAGCGGGGCCGGAACGCCAGTCGGCGCTTAATTCCCGGCCACTGAGAGCGCTCTGCTCGACTTCAACCCTTTCTGGGCCCTCCACGGCCATCATCTGGTTGCATCCAGACAGTCGTTCGTTCGCTGTACCGCCTGCACGTCTGCACGTCTGGCCGCCTGTACATGCGGGCATGAGCATGGGCATGGACAGTACATGGCCCCAGCATGCCAACATGCCACCAAGGCCCCCTCCCCGCACTCTCTGCCATGTACTCTGTACACTCGCTCACCTCGTCGCTGTCTCTGTCTCTCTGCCCGTCCGTCCGTCTGTCCCCGCGAGGCGAGCAACGTGCCCTCGACGAGACAACGTGCCCGGGACCACACGAGGCGAGGCCTGTTGATGAGACCTAGCGTGCTGAAACAAAGAGTCCGCCGTCGCTTCGTCACTGCCAGCAGGCCGGCAAACTTGGACAGAGGGAGGCGGCCTGCAACCCCATCTCACATGATATGATATCCAGCCTACATACATAGTAGTCCATGCACTATGATACAGTACCAGCCGTGCCCTGCCATGACGGCGCAAGCACGGTACAGTGGATACCTGTCCTGGCCCCTTCGCCGTGGCCCATCTAAGCGTCTGTGACACCCGTCATTGCTGTGTGGCTGGATGGCTGGATGGCTGGATGGCTGGCTTGAAGCGGTGTCTTGGGGGAGGTTGACATTGGAGCAATCCATGTCAGGTACGGACGGCCCAGACACACTGTACGACGCGACCATCAACCAAGCATGCACATGGACTGCCTGCCTATACAGTAGTACCTGCCTGCCCTGCCGTGCCCTGCCTATCCTTCTTGGACGTGAGGAGGGGGACCCGCAAAACATGCCATGCGCACCAAGGACATTTCTCTGCACGGCGCCTGCGGCCATCGTCCGTCCTTCGCCCGCCTCCAAACACGTCCCAGCAGGCCTCCAGACTGACCGCGCCAGCTCGCCGGAGCAGGCAAGCAACTGGCTCACGACTCAAGTTGTATCGTGGCTTTGGGCAGACGGCCTTCCTGCCCAATTGGCCGTGGGGTCGATCATCTCATGTGCCCTGCAGCCCAGGTGACAGCAATAGGCTGGAATCGACAGCGAGGATACCGCACAAGTGGAGGCTAATTATGGCACACCCTCATGTACCCTATACACCCGGCCAACCAGGATGAGAGCTACTGCGTCTCCCATGCCCACGGTCACCGGCTTTTCCCTCTTTGATGCTTCCACACCTGGCTTTCGGCGAGCCATGACTTCCTGACCTTGGTGCCCTTGCCGTCCGCAGCGCCCTCATAGGTTCGTCGCTATCCTTGTAGCATGCCTGGGTTCTCCGTCGACATGCAGAGCTAGACCCTCAGATGAGCCGGTCCGTACCCGCTCCAGATTCACAATCGCTTCTCTATACGCTAGTTCTCTCATGGGCCACCACGGCTCTAATTTTATATGCCTTCCCGGATCGTCCATTGACAGGCCAGGCCTTGTCGCTCTAGGCGCTGAACTCTCGACTTATTGCCATCCCACACCCCCATCCCACACCTCGCGCCGTTCTTGATGCGTTTTCTCCTCTCTCCCTCCGCATGCTTCTTGCACTTTCTGCAACCCCGTGCATTCCAAGAATTCTGCTCGACACTCTGATGGGACCAGTACTCCTCATCGGCGAGAGCAGAATAATAGCACCGTTGCGAAGAACAAGCGCCCGGCACACCCTGAATCCTGCCGCTCCGCCCACGAGGCGGGTAACCTATTGCCACAGTCTTATTGCCGCTCACATACATATCGCCTGCGCCTAACGGACGTCCACCATCCAAGCCGTGCAACCTGAGGCTAGACGTACCTGGCAATACCTCACAACCCCTTCACACCTTGTCACTTAATTTCCTCTGTTCCTCGTTCCTCTCCATCATCGATTCCATCCCGTGATCGGCATCGAGCCGCAAGGAGGGGAAAGGGAAAAGAAGAAAAAACGAAAAAAAAAAAAAAAAAAAAAAAAAAAAAAAAAAAAAAAAAAAGCGCACGCGCTGCCCACGCAACACAAGTATCCCCAGGCACGGCAGCCGCCCTTTTCCTACCGAGGTCCTCACCGCATACAACAGACTGGGTTGGGCTTTCGGCATATCTGAGACAACGAACGTGGAGGACGGACTCGTCCGGGAACGGGCAGCTGGGTGTTCCATGTGATGATCCCAGGTCGAACTGTGTAGCCTCACCGCCCGACTTTAGTTCGTTGCGACGCTTTCTCGGAGGGCTTCTCACCCTACCGCTGGTATGTGAGACATCTTTTGTGCGCCCAGGTTTCGTGAGTTCTTCGAGAATCTCGGGATCAGCGCAAACTTACCCCGAGGGTGGGACATATTTCCTGATTGATGCAGCATCCCGACTAACCCTCCGCTACACAAAGGCCGCGAACGAAGCATATCATGTCTGGCATGGCCACTTCAGCCAGGCCGTCGAGGGGCCGCTCGACCTCGACTCCCCTGTCTTCGAGGAGTAAAGGGACGGCAATGGACGACTTCAAGATGTCGCCAACCGCAATACTCCGATATTTCGACCCGACTGCCGCCACTGCCTCCATGTTTCTCTATGCCCAGGGTAACTCGGTAGTGTGCTGCCACCATGACACCCTGACCATAGAAAGGAGGTTCTCCCGCCATGACGACGAGGTGCAGATTCTGGCCGTCGACAACCAGAGTGAGATGGGAGCCGGGAGGCTAGTGGTCAGTTATGACGCGGGCCAGACGGCGATAGTGTGGGACATAATGTCTGGTGAAGAAGTTGCACGATTCGCTTCGTATGAGCACCTGACCGTTGCCGCCTGGATGAGGAATGGCAATGTTGCGTTCGGTGAGTGCAGGCCCTGAAACATGTCTTTCGTGGCCCCTTGAGTCTGGTTAACAAAAAGCAACAGGCAACACGCAAGGAAATATCATCCTTTTCGAGCCCACAACATCAGAGCACATTTCGGCCCGGACCATTGATCAGATAGCAGTAACAGCGCTGGCACCTTCAGCCGACTGCCGAACCTTCGCGATAGGGTCGGTTCTGACCCATGCGTATCATGTGTAGAACATCCTTGCTGACTGCGTTTAACAGATATCAAAACGGCTCGCTGCTGATTGCGACGCTTCAGCCGAGATTCACAATTTTGCACAACCTGACCACGTCAAGAGCGCCATCTCCCATCATTTCACTGAGTTGGCATGCCTCTTCCTCGCGGCAGAAGTCGGATATGCTGGCTGTCCAGACGAACGACGGCGATCTGAGGGTCTGGAGTGTATCCAAAGCTTACAACAGCGCGGACCCGGCAAAGGTCGTGCGCATACTTAAGAAATCGGAGAACGCCCTGGCCGGTCCCAACTGGATGGGCTGGTCCAAAAATGGAAGAATCATCCAACACGGCGAATCGTAAGTCAAACCAACGGTCTTGCTTTCCACTGGGTCTCATGCTGACTTGGCTGAACTCGAAGCGAAACCCTGTCTTGGGATGTGCGGACCAAGCATGTAACATTTGACAAGATCCCTACTTTGGAGCACACCAAGGGACTTGCGGTGTACGGCCCGGGAGCCAGCTTATTCACCATCGCCGCCAACAACACCGTGCAGCAATTTGACCTGAATGCTCCCGCGATGATGGTAGCCAACGTTCAGCACCCTGCTAACTTGCTTCCTCCTTCTCCGCCGGTGTCAATTGAGGAGCAAGAAAAAGGAGCAAGCACTGCGTCCGACTCAGAAATGGGCTCCATACAGATCAGCGCAGATATTTCCGAGAGCGATGAAGACCTCGCGCCGCCAATGGCCAGGATCGCCAGGGCTGGAAACCACCAGCTGTCGTCGGACGAGGACCAGTATCGCACAGCAAGCCCAGCATCAAGCCGGAGTGGTGTTTCTGATGTCTCATCCACCAGCTCAAGAACTCCTGGACGGTATCAATCGTCACTCCGATCCCGCGGGATGACAGACAACACCTACATCTCCGCTGGCTCCTCCATTCGATCCTCGACCTTCCCACAAGAAAAGCCCAAACGTGAAAGCTCGTCATTTTCCACGAGCAGCCTGAGTTCTGTCTCCATGGGATCGTCAACAAGCCGGTCTCGACACAGGCCGTCTCGTCTGCGACATGAGATCCCGAGAAGTCCCGAAGATTCCAGGGTCGTGGATCTGTTCAAGTATACCAGAACCCGTCTCAGTGATGTCCCGTACAAGAGGCCTCCTATGGTCGACAGCAGCCGCTTGACAAACGACGATCTCCGACGGCAGATGCTGTGCACGATCTTCGGGTGGACGAAGGAGGCGGAAGATCTAGTGCGCGACGAGATGGGCCGCCACCCACAAGGGACACCCAGCAGAATCCTGCTCGCAAAATGGCTGGGCGACATCGACCCAGACGTCATGGCGGCCAACGCTGAGAACATGACCTCTTCGGACTGGATGCTTCTGGCGTTGAGTGGCATAGGTGGCACAGCAGCACAGCACAAGCTGGGTCTGGCGTATGTCCAACGACTCCTCGAGAACGGTGATATCCACTCGGCAGTGACAATCATGATTGGAATGGGTGACCAGACTGATGCGATCGAGGTGTACATCTCGCACAAGAAGTTCCTGGAGGCTTTGATCCTGACCTGTCTCTTCTTCCCGTCAGTGTGGGAGCGGCAAGCGCAGATCGTGAAGAAGTGGGGAGAATGGGCTGTCCAGCATGGGCACCAGCAACTGGCCATCCGATGGTGAGTTATCCGGATTGCGAACTTGAGTGACTTGTACTAACACTGAATGAACAGCTTTGCCTGCTCTGGCAAGGAGTCAGATGAGCCGTGGACCTCGCCCTCGGCACAGCAGATGACATTTCAGAGCATCAACACAGCCGTGAATCCCAGCATCCCTGAGGTTCTTAGCCCTCCCCTGTCACCGCCTGGTCTGAACCGCGGGCCTCAACGAAGCATTGCCAAGACATCTGCGCTCAAACTCATCACATCTTTTGGCGACCAGAACTCCAAGTCCAAGTTCTTCGCATCCAACGATGGCGGCCAGACACCGATCGCAGCTGGCGTCACGCCTATCGCTGAGTCGGCCATCTCGCCCAGGGCCGAAGACATGACGACTGCCTTCCTCAGGCCCTCTAGCCGCAGCGCATTCAACACGCCGACGACAGCGCGCTCGCAGACCAGCAACTTTAGCCGAGGAAGGCTCCCTTCCATCGGAGAGATGCCAAGCGATGCAAATCTGCGCAACACAGCAAAGAAGTCCAGCGCACAGCCTCCCGCCGGGATCGATGCCCTCACCCCGCCAATTGACTCTCCTGCCCGACCCGGCCACAACGCCAAGAGCTCCATGGACGACGGATATGCTGCCGTGGGCATGTCACTGGAGAGAGCAGCTACAGCCAGTCCTATGATGATGAAGAACTCGCACCGTAGGAAGGAGGCCCCACCGCCGTCTCCTTCGCCCGATTCCCTGGCGATGCTCATGCAGAGTGGCCGAAGGAGCCGCAATGGGCCCCGCGAGCGCATGCCCAACGGACTCGAACTGCAGCTCCAATCCATGGAGAACGCCATGGGCAGCGATGTCACGTCGCCCGAGCAGTCGGTCACGTCGTCGACTCGGTTCCACTGGCCGACCAGACGCCGTGCCCCGCCGTCTGTTGGCAGCTCCACCACCTCTGCCTCCGCAACCTCGAGCGTTGCCAGGGGCCACCGCAGCCATCAAGGTGGTAAGAGCCTGGACGACTACATCAGCAGCCTTGAGGCTGCCAAGACGAAGTCCCGGGGCGGTAGCCGGGAGGGACGCAACAAGACCCGTGATAGCAGCGCAACGCGCAAGGGCGGCTCCCGTGAGCGGTCTGGTGACCGAGGACGCACTTCCTCTCGAGGTTACACGCCCAGAGCTGGCAAGAGGTCTCCAACCTCCCCGGTCCCCATGTCACCGGAGGATTTGCTCAATCTGAGCACTCCCAATTTTTATATCGACCAGATACGAAGATCGTAGCCAAGAAACCGAAGAGCCGGCGACTGTCCGCAAGGCGAGCACTGTTCGGGCCACTTCCCGGAGCCGTCCTCGTCGGGGCTCGAGCCGTGACAACATGCGGCCTGCACCTCTCGAGATCCCTCGCGGCCGCAGCAATGACCGACAAGGCTCAGGAGCACGATCCCCGTCGTCGCCTCTTCCCATGTCAGCGGGTGTTCAGCACTACTACGGCTCCGAGGACGAAGAGGATTACAGGAGGGCTAAAGAGGACCAGGCCAAGTTCCGCAGCAAGAAGACGCTGTCTCGGGGCGGCAGCAAGTCCCGCGAACCTTCCCCTGGTCTTGCAATGACGCGCGAGAGCTCCAAGCCTAGGGAGCCGCAGGAAACCAGGTCTCGTACCCCACGTGTCGAGTTCGCAGTTTCCGGCCGTGGAGACCTGAAAGCCATCAAGGACGAGCGCCAGCTCAAGAAGGAGGCTGCAGCGCGCGAGCTTGAGGAGCGCCGCAAGTCGCTCGCCAAGCGCCCGTTGGCCCCTCCGATTCCTCACCCGGACGAGCTCTCCCCGTCATTCCCAGGCATGAGCATCCAGCGTGCGCCGACTGCTTTCGAGCTCCCCAGCACCACCTTTGTCCAGCCCAAGGAGCTGCCGCCTCGCAGCCGTACCGCGGAGCCCGACAAGCGAAGCATGTACGCCCAGCAGCCGACCCGCCCTTTCATCGGTCTCCCGGCTACTCCCAAGGCCATGAGACTGGTCATGGAGGGCCAGAAGGACATCAGCCCCGACGAGCCAGTCCCGCCCATTCCCACGACTTTCGCGCAGGCTGAGTCGCCCAAGTCACGACAGAATTCCCCTCAGAAGGAGACCAGCTCGCCACAGGCTGCTGAAGGCCAAGGCCTCCTCACCTTGCTCCCTTCGACTGTCTACCAGCCTCCATCCCGACCGGGCATCCAGCGGTGCATGTCTGCGCCGCCCGAGGAGCCGGTTGCGCCTCAGGCCCTCCGAGGCGACAGCAACTCGGGCCACAGCAGGCTCGCCAGGGGCCAGTCCCTCAGGAAATTGAGCACACCCGACGCGCACTCATCGTCCAAGTACATCCGCACCATCGACGGGGTCATGGACGACAACCAAGTTGGCATTTCCAGCCACTCCCGGCGCACCTCGAACGCTGACCAGATCCCGCCGCCGCCGCCGCCGCCGCCGGTCTTGAGAGAGCTGCAGCACTTGGCTACGCCACCGCCGCCACCGCCCGCGCCACTCGCCTTCGCGCACGGCGGCAAGCCGCCCGTCGTGTATGGCGCGCCGGGCACGATCGAAATCGTCATGGACAACGACGAGCCGTCCCAGCCTGAGCACGGCCAGAACGTTCAGCCCCTATCCGAGACCACGGTCCCCGTGATTGCTCCGCCCAATCCCCCTCGCGGCCACCACCGCGGCCGCAGCAGCGTGGACAACAGCATCGCGGGGCGCATCTCGCGTGCCACGGAGAGGATGAGGAGCGGGAGCCGAAGCCGCAACAACTCGAGCGTCGTCAGCCGGACCAAGTCCCCGATCGAGGGTGGAGCCCCCGCGCCGTACGAGAGCATCACCATGCCGAAGGGTCCGCCAGTCAGCTTCCACAACCGTGAGCTCAAGTCCCCCATCGACGGGAGGACGATGAGGGAGGAGTTCGACCTGAGCCAGAAAATGATCTGAGCCTCCGAGAAAGTACCATGCCCAGCCACATTTTATCGCGCATTGCTTGATCCTATTTCTTCATTCTCCTTTTCATGTCATTTTCCCCTTCTGATTTCCGGCATTGCTTTTAAACAATCCATCATGCTATCCTGTTCGTTTCGATCCTGCATGGCGGCTGGCGTCCTTTTGACATTTCGCTTCTTCACGCATTTGATACCAAAACTTTCACACGTCAATGACGGGACCCGTTTTGAGCGAGTGTTCCCGAAGATGTTGGACACCAGGAATCGGGGACAACCACCAGCTTTCTGTTTTGATGGTTCCGATCAGGCTTTCTGTTTTTCTGTTCTCCGTTTGCTTTTCAACTGCGATATACCAACCAACAAGGGCAACAATTTGTACATTTCTCACCAATCTCTACAATACCTATCTCCGTACCACATGGCATTTTCTTCAAAATTTACAAGTCTTGTTTGTCCCCTCAACAACAACGGCCATTGTCAGAAACATCGTTATCCCTCTCCCTCGACTGCAAGGTCTTTTTATGACGTGATGAACGGTGGCTGCCAAGGAGGGAATGGAAGGGAGCTAGGAAGGGAAAAAGAGATGGAACAAGGCTAACTCTACTGTACTGTTATTTTTCTTTTCGCCTTCTGCAAGAATGATTGATGACACTAAGGGACGGCCGCGTGGGCCTGCGAATATGGGGAAAAGATGAGAGACAGAGAGCAATGATGGCAACATTGAACACCACAGACGAAAAAAGCCCAAGCCACCCAGGGAATTGAAAACTGGCAAAACAAAAAAAAAAAAAAAAAAAAAAAATTCAGCACTCGGGTGTAATATAATGCTGCCTCACGGCATTCTTGTTCAACTTATTCCTATATCATTATGGACAACGCATAACTGAATTACTTTGATGGTTCCTTTTCTTAGGCACGTAAGGAGGACCAAGAGGGATAGCCTCAAGTAGCAACCGAGGTTGGTTTAGGTAGGAAAAATACACCGATCCTTTCTCATACAGTAATACCTCTTCAGAAGGATGGATTGGCACGAAATGATAGGTGCAGGTGGCTAAGTGGACGTCAAAAGTTGTTGGTGCAGTGACCACTCGAACCTTGGACCTCTGCATAGCTAAGGTGAGGGTCAGCGTCAGCAATTGCTCAGAACGGGGAGCCCCAGGGAAACAGAGGCGCAGTGTTATCGACCGGTGGAATGAAATGTGAATGAAGATGATGGCTGAGAACCATGAGGGAAGAAAACAAAAAGAAGAAGAAAAAAAGGAGTTGACATCGCCATCTCTCCTCTCTACCCCAAACCCAAGACAATGTGATCCAGCACGCCGCGCAGCAGTGAAGACGCCCCTGCAGAGTGAAGCCTCCCTGAGGTATCGTCTTCGCGGCTTCGGGCCACACGCAGCATCGCTGGCTACCCAAGCGAGTGGGTGACCGCTGCCACGCTCGCGCTGGGCATCGTCTTGGGGTTCTGATGGAAATGGAATAGTGGGGTGAGAATATTGTGAGCCTTCGTCCCGAACGGGCCATTACAGCTGATATCCCTGCCAAAATCCTAGCTTATGAAATGCCGTTTCTGGGTACGGGTTGCGTCGGCTGGCTTCGACAGCGTTTGTTTGACATCACATCTGGTAGCTACCGCTAGATTGTGAGATCAAAATGACAGATGGACATGGTTTCGAAACATAACATAATCAAATCATGAGCCAGTAATAGCCTTGTACTCAGGTAGGCAATTGCCTGCTGCGAGGGCTTTTGAGGTGGGCAGCCCCTTGCTGTTATACCTAGGTATGTCCCGCCTGCTTCTACCACCAAGGGGGCCCCCATGTAACCTGCCGACCCCTACATCGATTCTGACGCGGCCTCGAGCTCGCGCGCATCTCACCACGTCTGCTCCTTCTGTACCTTTCAAATGAAGCGCCATTGCCTCCCTGCTCCTGTCGATCTGCCAGGGGTCGTCAGGATGGGCAATTGGCTCTGAACCAAGTCCTCGAGAGAAGAACCTACGGATCTGCAAACCGCCACTGCAGGCCCGGGCGAAGTCAAGCTCGCGACAGCTTCCTCCCCACCCGCCGCCCCAAGTCCGTTGCGCGCCGCGACCCGGCCCACGATGCTCACCACCGCGCCGCACCTTCACGTCCGCCGACCGTCCCCTACAACCGCCGAGTTCACCGTCACCACCTGCCCGCCGCCGACCCTGTCGCGGCGCATTCTGTTGGGCCTGGTCTTCATCGTCCGCGTCCTCCTCGGCCTCTCCGTCCTGCTGGTCCTGTACTCAACATGGACACTCTCGCCTTACTACCACCAAAACCACAACCCGGACCACCCCACGAGCATCGCGACCGCCACCCCCACGGCGACAAGCACGACGCCCCTCCTCCATGACCACCGCCACAACGATATCACAATCACAACAACAGCCGCGACAGCCCCTTCCGCAGCCGACCCGTGGGACAACAGCCCCGCGAGCCCGGCCCCAACCACGCTCTACACGACCGAGTGGCTGCCGTACCTGGCGCGGGCGGCGCACCTCTCAGCCGCGGGGCGGGCGGCGCACCGCGTGGCAGAGGGGCTGCCCTCCTACGCGGCGGTGGCGCTGTGCGCGGCGGTGGCCTACGCGACGACGCTGCGGGTGCACACCACCGAGTCGCTGCTGGTGTTGCGGGGGCTCGGGGTGCAGACGAGCTCGGTGGGCGGCAGCTACCTGGCCGGGTGGCGGGCGGGCACGCGCTTCATCCCCACCGAGAAGATCCGCGACGTGCTCATCAACGAGGCGTTCCGGGGCCTCGCCGTGCGCTACTACCTAGTCGTCGTTGTCGAGGGCGAGGAGGACGTCGTCGTCGTCTTCCCGCGCCTGCTCCCCGGCCGCAGGGTCGTCGAGGCCGTCTGGAGGGGCGTCCGGGGCTGCCTGTGGGAGCCCGACGGGGCCGTGCCCGTGAGCAGGAGGTGGGACGAGAAAGGGCAGTATGGGAGGGCGGCGGATTGACCCGGGCGGGGGGTGGAATTGAGTCCTTAAATTGGTGGAAGAATATGTGCTGGCAGAGTGATATGCATTTACAGATATCTGCGCTGGAATCTAGACCTTAGCACAAATGCCATGGCTTCATCATCTAATCTTATTACTCATTGGCCGCGTCGTCTTCGGCGCTGCCCTTCATCTCCTTGATCGCATCCCTCCAGTTACCCACGCCTCTCATCTCCTCGGCGTTCTTGAATCCCTTGCGCTGCGCCCAGCGGTCGTTCAGGTCGTCCGGACTGTGCAGCTTGTCCTTCTTCAGCAGAGGAACGTACGCGCCCACGAACCGGGGCCCGTTGCCCCCCTCGTAGACCCTCGCACTGCCCCTCACGCTCGTCGTGGCCTTCCGGAGAGCCTGGCTCCCGGCCTCGGGCACGCGGTCCACGCCCGTCTTCTGGCCAACCCAGTCAAGGAGCCTGTTGGACAGGATCTCGTCTATCTTCTTCTCGCGCCAGTGCCCCCACAGGTCGTTGGCCACGCCCCACGAGCCGTGCAGGTTCAGCGGGTTGTCGGCCCCGACGTAGACCCAGTCGACCCCGTCGGCCGCCCCGTCGGCGTTCTCCCGCCCGAACACGCAGTCCCACAGCACCAGCGGCCTGTCGTCGGCCAGCACGTAGTTGGGCCGCCGCGGGTGCCGGTCCGGGTCGAGCAGCTCCGCCACCACCCCGGGGTCCTCCAGGCCCTGGCCAACGAGGAACAGCACCGCCACCATGCAGCGGATCTGGTGCCACAGGAAGGCCGACCCGCGCACGTGGAAGTAGTACACCTTGGGGTGCGCCACCCCGGGCTCCGCGGTGGGGTCGCGGAACTGCGGGCAGTCTAGGTACGGCACCGCCGTGTTGATGCCGTCCACCTCGACGACATCTGACTCGAAGATACGCCGCACAAAGTTGGTGATCTGCTTCGAGGGGTCGACCTTGCAGAAGTTGCGGAAGTCGTGCACGCCTCGAACATCTTGGCCGCCTTGCGCATCGCGTCGATGTCGAGCCAGCCGTCCTTTGGCCTGCTTGAGGAGGATGGTGCCTCCTGGCCGTTGGTTTCCCTGTTGCTGGCGCCGTTGCTATCGTTGAGCTCCTCGAGGAAGTTTGGCAGTGGTGCGAAGGCGGGTTGTGTAAAGAAGTAGCGGTACTGCCTCTCCCGGCAGCTGAACCGTGCCGAGAAGTCCGGGGGAGGATTCGGGCACCAGGCGTAGACCTTGATGTCCGGTGGCAGGATGCGGTTCAGCACGCGGCAGTACTGGATCTCCTGGTCGACCGGCAGCGGCGTGTCATCGTCCTCATTATCCTGCTCTTCATCTGCCTCCTCCGTCTCCAACTTAGCCTCCTCGGCAGCCGGTGTTCCGCCCATTTGAATGTCGCCCCCACTGGCTCGACCCGCTGCCGCAGCCTGGGGCTTCCTCCTTGCCCCCTTGACGGGCTTGTTGCTCCTCACCCGCAGCGCCACGACCTGACCGAAGGCGCTCACGCCGCGGTCCGTCCTGCCGCACTTGGAGTACTCGCAGCAGTTCCAGTCGACCTCGTTAGGCCGCTCCGGGCCCGGGAAGATCAGGCACGCCTTGACAAGTGCCTTCCACAGCTCTTCCTCGATGGTGGACATGGCCCCCGTCGGCTGGTACTCGAAGCCATTATAGTTCTTGCCCAGGTAAGCGAGCTTGAGGGCCACGAAGCGCTTCGAATACTTGGCCGGATCGATTCCCTTGCCCTTCTTCTTCGCCTTTTTCTTGGCGGGCTCGCCGGGCAGTGAGACTGCCTCCGGGTCCTGGTGTTTTGCTGGGGTTGTGGGCAGCAGGTCGCCGTTCTGGGACTTGATCTCATTCTCGAGCTGCTTGATGCGGCCCACGAGGTCGTCTTTGGTCCATTTGCTGTAGTCAGTCATTGTCGTCGTTCTGTGTGGCACGAGTCTGATGAGGGCTGGCTTTGAACTTGGGTTCAGGACGGGCGGCGGGGCCTTCAGGAAAGAGGGGATAACGACTCTGGCTTCATTCCATCGTGAGCCGTGAATGAGAGCCCTGAGCGACTTCATACGTTTGTCGTCAACAACTCACATAGACGGAGCCTGCCTATGCGACGGCCAGCGTTTGGGCGAGATGTGAGCCATGAAATTTAGAGTGAGGATCCTTATCGATAAGTGCCGATGGCGGCTCCGACAGAGGCATTATAATCACTGCCCTCAGCTTCACCAGCCGTCAAGGTTCGGACATTGCTCTTGTGAGTCCCGAGAGTTGTAAGCACTCGTGCGTTGACTGACTCTATGGATTCGCAGACGATATCCATATTGCTACTGGGAGATGAGGCAGTAGGGAAGACAACGTTCCTATCGTGCGTGTTGCATTCGGCCTGTTACTCTTCCCCTGTACACCTGTGTTGGGCGTGCGACTGACCTCATGCAGACGAATCAGCCAGGGGCACAACAACCTCGTAGGCACCAGGCCGATAAATCTGCTCAAGGACATAGATCAACCTTATGTGTTTGAGACCTCATTTGGGAGGCAGCAGTATCGATTAGAGTTCTACGATACGTCGAGTCCCGAGAATTGGCGGCTTCTCCGGCCAGATCTCGTCCTCATCTGCTACGATATAAGCCAGCGCCTGAGTCTCATCAACCTCCAGCGAGTCGTGCGTGGCCACCGTTTTCTTCCATCTCCGTGCCTCTCACTCCTATACCATCCTGCTAACCACAATCCTATCAACAGTGGATCAAAGAAGTCCGCTCGACGTTCCTGTCTGAAAGCACGCTGCCCCTGGCCGTGCTCGGCCTGAAGCGGGACCTGAGGTCCGAAGATGATCCCAACGGCATAATCTATCCGCAGGAGGCATATCGAATTGCCGCAGAAATCAGGGCCGACAAGTACATGGAATGCTCTGCGGTGACGGGAGAGCTTCTCCAGCTGGCCTTTGAGGAGATCTGCCAGATGGCTGTCAAGACGACGAGCCGTGAGGGTGGCCAGAGCGACGGGGGTTGTCGTTTGATGTGATGCTGTTGCCGTTGCAGGTGCCGTTGGCCCTGGCACCTCATCCACTCTGAGCAGGCTTGTCGAGGTTCAGGTTTTGTGGTCTGGTGAGATAATGTGTGTGCCTGTTGGTACTTGTATTTTGCTGCAAAAATCATCCACCAGAGTCAGGATCAGGATCAGGCCTCCGCAGCCTCCTTGACCGGGAGAGGCCCCAGAACCTCCGCGATGATGGCGAGAATCTCCTGCTGCTTTTCCTCGTCAAAGCGCGACTCGGCGTCCTCGACACAGGCAGCCAGGACGGCCGGGTTGTCGGGGCGCTGGTTGACAATCATGATGGTCTCGCCCTTGGTCAGGTCAAAGTCGCGCAGCCTCTCGACCAGGCGGCTAATGCTGGTGGCATCATATGTGACGGGCCGCTGGCTGAGGGGATCCGGCTGGGTCCGTAGTTGGTCAATGACCTGCGTGAGAGTAAGCTTCTGGGTGGGCTCTCTGTGTTTTCCCGTTCAACACTGGGCTGTGGCATCGGCACGTACCTCCTTGATGGCGGTTTGGAGGTTTCTGGGAACCTGCCTCTTCCTGTCAGGCAGCTTGGACTTTTGCTGCTCATTCAAGAGGTGCTGGTAGACCTCGAAGTTGGTCAATATGGCGCTCTGCGACTCGAGGACCTTCATAATGCCTGTGTCTACTATCTCTGGTTTGTGTTTGTGTCTGTGCCAGTTTCTGTCTGCGTCTACGCGTGTGTGGGTGTGGGTGAGATTTAGTTTTGAGGATCTCGATCTTTCTGCCCGAGTCGAATGATTCGTGCTGCAGGTGGCCAAATTGGAGTTTGGCGAGGGGGACTTTGATGAGGCTACCCGAATAGAGGTATTGAGTCACCAGTCAGGGCGGTGATGCGGTGCGACGTGTGGAATGCAGTGGTTCCTGGCGGCTGCAGTTCGTGCCTGTGACAGTCAATTCCTTCCTTTCCCCTCCCTCCCTCGGGGTGGCTCAAATGGCGTAGCACGGAGGCCAGAGATTTCTACTCCAACGCCGTCTCAGCCCTACAAGTATCTACATGTATTTGCTGACCTGCCTCCCGCGGAATCAGAGAGAGGCCTCTTCCACACACGCACATGCACTCAATTAGACTCAGCCAAGATGGAGGGCCGCCTTGTTTGTGCTCCAGATTGAAACAGCCTGCCAGAAACACCCGCAATGCTAGATCGTGAACCCTCCGTTTCCCGGGCGGCACAGCCATGTACCTAGCGAGTACCCCGCGCCTCGCAATCGCAATCCCCCCCAGATGTTGCAATGGGAGGCCAATGATAGGCGAGCCAGCGCCCGACCCCACCCGTGCCTCGTGCTGAAGCGCGCTACAATACAGGCGGGGTCCTGCTGGAGAGCCTCTTGCCACTCAGTACCCAGACGCGCTGCAAATACAGTATGCAGCAGCCTGTACCCGGACCATTTGGGTACCTGTGGGACGAAAGCGGTGTCCTGCAGCAACGGCTTGCAGAAGGGTCTGGGGTCAGGGTCAAGGTCAAGGCGAATGTGCTGCATCCAATTTTTTTCTCTTCGCCCTGCCGCCCGTCGCAGAGTTAGCCTGCCAGCTCTCTCATGCCTCAGTCCTCAGTCCTCGCTCCTCATTCATGCTGCGATCCGACTTTGACACGATGATTCCTCTGTGACAATACTCCCTGAGACAACCTGCTGCCGGCCTCTTACTTCTTCTGCGCATAGAAGACTTGCCTCTGGTGTTGTCTCGTTTTGTCTCCGCCCCTCCATCTCTCTCTTTTCTTCATCCGCGCATATCCTCGGCAACTTTTGTGACGTCGGTGGCCCACGATCTTGATCTCGACCTTGGTCCTGCACTCACCTGTGCGCTCTCCTGGAAACGCTGACGACACCCGTCCAGGCTCGTCCAGCACGATATTTGCACTCGTCGCCGTCGCCCTCTGAGTGTTCCCTAGTTTCGCCACAATCACAGAGCAAAGATGGTCCGCAATCTCGTCATCCTCGGGGGCAACTCCCACCCGGAGCTCGTCAACAATATCTGCAACTTCCTCGGTGTCCCTCACTGCGACCGCACCCTTTCCAAGTTCGAGGTTGGGGAGAGCAGATGCGAGATCAAGGAGACTGTCCGTGGCAAGGACGTCTACATCATCCAGACAGCCGGCACCCAGGATCCTGCCGACAAGGTCAACGACCACTTCATAGAAACCTGCATCAGTCAGACCCACTTCCCTCAAACTTGCTCCCACTCTGGCCGGTGTACTGACGACGCTCCATAGTGGTCTCTGCCTGCAAGACTGGCTCTGCCAAGAGGGTCACTGCCGTGCTGCCACTCTTCCCCTACTCGCGACAACCTGACCTGCCCTACAACAAGTCCGGCGCGCCCCTTAACAAGGCACCCAGCGACACCTCGGGCAGGTACACCTTCGAGAGCGTTCCTGCCACTCCGGGCCCCGGCTTGCCCAGGAGCGACACCCTCAGCAGCGGCATCGACATCACCAAGATGATGGCCAAGGCGGCTCTCGTCAATGGCAACGGTAACGGTCGGACCAACGGCGACGCCTCACAGTTTGGTGCGGATGCTGCCAAGGGGCGGAACCACGCCGAGTCTGTCTCCTCGGTGACGGGCAACTACACGACCCACGACTACGAGAACCCCCAGATGATCAATGCCTTCCAGGCGAAGCCGGGCTACAAGCAATGGGTCGCTCAGGCCGGGACACTAGTGGCGGATCTGTTGACTTGTGCGGGCGCGGATCATGTATGTGCCTCCTGACAAGAGCTGATACACCTTGCGCGACCCAAGAACCAGACGAGTGTTGGTTTTTAACAGCCCACCTCCCGGGCTCCCATGGAAAAGCCTTTTCACTCTTTTCTTCTTCTCCTGGGGTTAGTATCCAACACTAACTTCTGTTTACCCCAGATCATCACGATGGATTTGCATGATCCTCAGTTAGTATACCCCCTCACTCACTCACTCTCACACACATTCCTTTCCGTTCCGTTCCGCTGCGTTGCGTTGCGTTGCGCTGCGCTGTGACTCGACCCGGGTGCCAGACGAGTGTCTCGTGCCTTGAATTCCGCCAGTGCGGGCCGCTATGAGGGTTTATGCCAGAAACGGCCATGGCCTGCTAGCTCTTCCGATCTCGGCGGGCGGGCGGTGCTGACGCTGAAATCGTCCAAAGGTACCAAGGATTCTTTGACATTCCCGTGGATAATCTCTACGGCAAGCCGTTGCTGCAACGGTATATTGAACGAAACATCCCCGGTTACCGAGACGCAGTCATCGTCAGCCCGGATGCTGGAGGCGCAAAGCGTGCGACCGCCATAGCTGATCGCCTGGGCCTGAGCTTCGCCCTGATTCACAAGGTAGGCCCTTCGAATGTATGCATGTCCATCCTTGGCTGATACTGACAAGTCGTTGCAGGAGCGTCGCCCAACCAGGATCTCGGACCGTCAGAATGCCACCATGATGCTCGTCGGTGATGTAACAAACCGGCCCTGTATTTTGGTCGACGATTTGGCCGACACGGCAAACACCATCACGAGGGCTGCGAAGCTTCTCAAGAAGGACGGTGCCACCACCGTCTACGCGCTCGTCACGCATGGCATTCTCAGTGGTGATGCTATCGAGCGCATCAATGCATCATCCATCGACAAGATCATTGTCACCAACTCCGTCCCGCAGCATGGTCACAAGGCCGCTTGCCCCAAGCTTGAGGTGCTAGACGTCTCCCATGTCTTCGCTGAGGCCATCCGTCGAGTGCACCACGGTGAATCCATCAGCGCACTTTTCCCACACGATTGAGCAAGGCGAAGCACATTTGAGGCGTATCCCTCGACGAGGGCTTCGGGACGCAAGTGTCAATCGTATCATGATCATCTTTGGCGTTCAGGAGGGGTGGCATGCCTGCGGCATGGGTAAGGAAACAACTGCACCTTGATGTCCGGAGTTGGCAGGTTAGATCTGATTCACCAATTCTCCGACGCGGAGAACAAAAAAAGAGCAAAAGCGAAAACCCAAAACAAGCACTTGCGCGGCGTTAGCGATCATGTATGGAGCGCGGTGGCTTACTTAGCCAATTTGACCCGACCAGAGGCCGAACAATGCTCCTCGGCGTGCGTGCGCTCATTTCGGCGAGAGCGCCCGGAACGGTAGCCAGTCTAGTAGGATGCATGACCCTTGAATTGGTTGCTACACACATTATAAGCAGACTAACAGCGGAGAGATCGGCCATCCCCATCGCGGATTCCAGACGACTGGGGAAAACGCGCGTCCTGCAACTACGTACACGTCGTATGTACAAGTTGACCACTCGTGGCGGACAGCTTGCGCGCACTTGATAGCCTATTATTTGACTCGCAATTTTCCTGCCCAGCAACACAACCATATGTGTATCAAGTAAAATGTAGTGGACCCTTGACTCGAGTGGGACCGTCCGCCCTATTGGGCATGACGATAGCTTCGCGTCGCGGCCAGCCCCTTGATTGGGATCTACGGGACCCTCCCGATGTTTACCCGCTGCCCCGTCTGTCCACCGGGATCGCGGATCACACATTTTCCCCGAAAACTTTCATGTTTTAATATGAATTTTTTTCCGTTGACATCTGGCTATAGTGTCCCGCTTCCCGTTCCTCTGCCTTGCCTTTGCGAGGAGTCTCGTAGAAGACATTCAAGATGAAGGGATTACTATTGCACTGCGGGCTTCAACTGTTGGTGAATAGTATCCTTGCGGCCGCAGGACCTACGGCCGTGGATGCAGCAAATAATGTCACTTATAGGGGTCTCGACCGCAATGGAATTGAGGCATTCTTGAACATCCCCTATGGACAGGACACAGGTGGTGAGCATCGATTCAAGCCCCCGAGGCCGTACACCCCCCACCAGGCAGCGAGATCATCGCACAGTCATTTGGGCCCTCCTGCCCCCAGCCGCTTGGTGATGAGCTGGGCGTGCCGCTTGTTCTCGGCAACGTTACGGACACCTCGGAAGACTGCCTCAATCTGAATATAGCGAGACCGAAAGGGACTCTTTCCGGGGACAACCTACCTGTCATGGTCTGGATCCACGGCGGGAGCTTCTGGTCGGGCCAGAACAGCGAGATCACGGTGGCGCCCGACGGCTTAATCCTGGAGTCTGTCGAGAATGAACTGCCCATCGTCCACGTGGCTTTGAACTACCGCCTAGGTGTCTTCGGCTTCGCACGGTCTGCGGCGCTCGAGTCTGAGGGCTCAGAGAATGCTGGACTGAGGGACCAGAGACTTGCGATCGAGTGGGTGCGAGACAACATAGAGCACTTCGGGGGCGACCCCGACAAGATCACCATCGCTGGGCAGTCAACCGGAGGTACGTCGGGCACAGACACAGAGGATATCGAATACCGAAGGCGACCAAAGCGCTGACCAAATGTTATCAGGATTGGCTGTGGGAATGCAGCTTATGGCATACGGAGGCAGCAGGCCAATAGCTTTCCAACAGGCGATCTGCGAAAGCCAGACTCTCGAGCCTGGCATCACCGGGAACTTCACGACCGACGCCATGCAGCTCCTTGTGGACCACCTGGACTGCAACACCACAAGCCTCGACTCCGAACAGACTGTGACTTGCCTGAGGGGCTTCGACAAAGACACCCTCATGGACGCCTCCTTAGCCACATACATCGGCGACACAGCCCACAACATTGGCGACATTTGGCTCCCAGCCGTCGACGGCGACTTCCTACCCGCCGCCCCGTCCGAGCTCATAAGAGAGGGCAGATTCGCCAACGTGACGACCATGATAGGCTGGACAGAGGACGACGTCTCATACCTCACCGAGCCAAGCATCGAGACGGCCAACGACACGCGGGACTTCTTCCTCTCCTACGCGCCCGGCTTGACGCCCACCAACGTGGACACGCTGCTCTCGCTGTACCCGGTGTCCGACTTCCAGGCCAACGCCGCGGCGGACCTCTCGGCCGAGTTCTACCGCGCCGCCAGGATCTTCCGCGACATCCTCATGACATGCCCACCGCTGTGGTATGGCGCACACATAGCCACCGGTGGCAGCCAAGTCTACCACTACGCCTGGAACCAGTCGCTCCTGGATCCGATCCTGGGTTACGTGGGCTACCCGGGAATGGGTATCGTGCACACCTCCGAGCTAGGCTTCGTCTTCGGAAACCTGTCGCACTATGACGTGCATGGCTACCCATTTTCACCAGGCGAGTCTGACCACGCCCTGCTCCGACGGGGCTCAAGGTCGTGGTCCTCCTTCGTGAGCACGGGAAGGCCCAGCGTGGAGGGTCGCGAGACGTTTCAGGGTTTCGGCTCCGCGTTCGAGGAGCCCGGCCAGGCGTACATCTTTGTAGCCGGCGGGCCGGACGAGGGCCTCTCAGCTGTTGATGGGCCCGGGGCGTCGGCGGCGCTGGCGGGCCAGAGGTTGAGGGAGCGGTGCGAGTTTATTACCTCATCGGAAATGATTGAGCAGTTGAGGTTTTAGGCCTCTATATGATATGTATCATCTAGTGAGCAGGTAGACTTATTTCGTAATGCCACCCTCTAAAAAGAACTCTGGTCTCTCTCAAGTGTTTCCCACTTCTACGTGACTCAAGTGCCCGGCATCCCTGCCGAGCGCGGGAAATCCTCATTGCATTATTAGCTCCTCGCCGCTCGTGGCTTGGGTCCAGCCTGCGGAAAGACACAAACCACTTTAGAGTTCCCATTTTTCTCGAGCTTGACCATGGTTGGGGTGCCTGTGTGAAGAATCTTGTGAGGGGCGTATTTGTATCGGGACCACTTTTCAGGTGGAGGGGCTCCGTTGTCTCTTCTTGTTCCATCCCTAACCTGGAGCAGGTTCTGTTTGGAAACTTAACGAGGTCGGCTCATGTCAACAGTTAGTCTTCGCCAAACATGAACTGCGTTCTCCTTCAATTATCCCGTCTAGAGCATGCCTATAGGCGGAAAATCTGGCAGCCCTTACGGAGGATTAAGATGTCTTCAGGCTAGAAGCCTCTGTTTATTGTTGTATCGCCTTCTTCCGTAGCTTGACTTAGGATTTCTTATTGACATCTGCTTCTGGCACATGCCCAAATGGCAATATCTCTAGCAGTCTGGAGAGCACAGATTGTTGTTACTCAATCTCACATCAGAGGTTCTTTGCTTGAGAGTTCAGCTGTAGCTCTTGAGTAACATCAACTTGATATTTCTGTTGACCCCAGGTATTTGATTTATAGCCTGGTAATGAAAGAAGCAATACGTCCAGATGGCAAAGACGAGAGCATCCATCAGAAGCAACCCACATTGATGGATTGAGTGTGAAGAATCTGTACCTAGCAACTTATGACTACATTTACATGTTTGCACCACCAGTTCTAAGCACATGGAAAGTAATTAGACATGTGTGTGACAGACAACTACACCAAGTCTCTAAAATATTAGATGAACCGTCTCTACGAGAAGTCTTTTATGATTGTGAAGCTGTAGTAGGCCCAGCCCCTATCATGGGTATCTGTTCCCCTTGAATACAGATCAAACAAAGCCTGATCGTATACACTTATTTGAATTGGAGACAGCCTGAGCATACAAGTAGGCAACTCTTCAGTATATATTGTAGCGATTGTAAGTTTATACCTGAAAAGCACATGGAGTAGAACAAGAAAGATACACCGAGAAGTAGAACTTACATTTAAATATGCCGAGAACTTCCTCAAGATATTGACATCAGTTTACATCAAGATTCTCTGCTGGCTTTCTGCCTAGTGAGCATGGTGTTGGCAAGTACAACCCTTGCCTTTGCACAGCTACTTTAGTTATCCCCTATAGGGTACATAGCCTCTTAAAACTTAAATAAAATAATATTAATTAATAATTGCTTCTTTATATAATTATTATATATATAAGAAACCTATTAATATTAATTAATAATTATAAGTATTATAAATTAATAAGGTAAAAAAGGCAACCTTATAAGGATTTCTTTAATTTAAGAATTATATTTTCTTTATTAATAAGTATTATATAATAATGATTGCTTTATTAAGCCTCTTTATATTATTAAACTCCTTAAGTAAATATTATAAAGATTAAATAAATTAATTAATATTCTTTATAATATTTATATATATATTTATTATTATTTAAAAGATATACATTTATTATATATAAACTTTATTAAAAATAAATTTATCTTTAACTCCTTTTTAAAATTTAAAAAACATAATAAAATTCCGTGTTATTAATAAATAAAGCTTATAATTATTATAATTATTAAAGCTAATATAAAAGGATTTAATAATAAAAGAAAACCCTTAATTTTTAAGGCTTAAGGGAATTAATAATTTCTTTTGCTTTATAATTATAACTTTTAAATTATTATTATTAACTTACTTTATTAAATATTAATTACTTTAATATTATTTCTTTATTTTTTTAATATCATTCCTTATAATATTTATTATAAAAACTTATAAATATAATTAATAATATTAAAAAATTATTAACTTTTATTAAAAAATATATAATTAATAAAATGCTTATTTAAATTATAATTAACTTAATATATTATAAATATATTAACTTATAATTATAATTTATAGCTCTTATATAAAAACTATTAATAAAATACTTAATTACTTACTTAATAAATACTTTAATAAGCTATATATAATAAAATCTTTATAATAATAACCTTTTTATTATTTATTATAAGAATTATATAATATAAATATAAGTAATATTTAAAGCATTATTAAATTTTTATTAATAATATTTAAAGGTTTTCCTTTAAATATAAGGTATTTATATAAAATATAATAATTAACTTATAGCATTATAATTAATTATTATAGCTTAAGCTAAGAAAAAATTAAAATAAATTAATAATAAGCTTTATAATATTTTATTAACCTTAAAATTAAATATAAATAAATATTATATATAACTTTAAAAATAATAATTATAAGTAATATAAGCATAATCTTTAATATAATTTTTATTATAATAATTATAAGTATAACTTTTATAAATATTATAAATAAACTTTAAATAATAATAATTATTAAAAGAATAATTTTTAAAAAAAGTTTTATTACCTTTATTAACTTTAAGCTTATAATTATAAAACTTAAACTTAATAATATAATTTATTAAGAATTAATATAATTAATAAAGCTTATTACTATTAATAAAAGAATAAAAATAAAGTTTATATTAAAGATATATATTATATTTAATATAACTTTAAGCTACCTTAAAAATGCTTTTATTAAATAAAAAGTATAAATTATATAAAATCCTTTTCTTATAATATATTATTAATAAATACTTAAATTTAATAAAATTAATATAATTTATAAAAACCTTTAATAATTTTTATAAATATATTAAAAATTTATATACTTTATTAAATAATAAAATAAAAATATATTTTAATATTTATTATTATATTAAAATTTAATTAAGTTAATTTTATATAATATTTTTTTAAATACTTAAAGATTAAATTAAGTTTTATTATCTTTATTTTATAAATTAAATTAATATATTTATAATAATATATCTTAAAATTAAAATATATTTTAATATAAACCTTAATTATTAATAATATTATATAAATTAAATAATAATAATATTTATAAAAATAAAAATATAAAACTTAAATAAAGATTTATATAAAGTTTTATATTTAATATTTAATAAGCTATAAATTTATTAATAAGCATTAAATTAAGATTATATTAAAAAAATAACTTAAAAATAATAATAATTAAAGCTTATAAAGAAATTTTTAAGTTAACTTAGCTATATAAAAAGTTATTTTTAAACTTAAGATTTATAATAAAAATATAACTTAATTATATAATTATAATTTATATTATAAATAAAGTTTTAAATTAATATTTTATTAATTATAAATATAATAATTAAAAGTTAAGAAAAAAATAATAATTATAATTTTAAAAGTTTTAAAGAAATTAAAAATTTAATTAATTAAACTTAAGTTATTTAAGTTTTAAGTAATTAAAATCTTATAATATTAATTATAAAGCTTAAAGTAATAATGCTTATATATAAAAAAATATCTTTAAAAGAAAAAATATTATATTTATAAAAAAAGAATATTAATTAATTAAATATTTAATTAATAAATAATAATTAATAAAAAAAGTTATTTAATATAATATAAATATAAAAATTATAATAATAACTTTATAATTATTTTAAATAAATTTAAAAAATATAAAATAAATAATAAAGATAAATTTTATAAATATAAATATAAATTTCTTAATTAATAAAGCTTTTATATATTAAATTATTTTAAAAAATAAATATAATTAAAATTATTTTTAAAGAATTTTATTAAATATAAAAGCTTTATTAATATTTATAGCTAAATATAAGTAATTTCTTATATTATAAAAAAAAATTAAAGTATTAAATTAATATAATTATTATAAGAAAAATTAAAGTTAAATTTAATAATAAAATAATTATTAATATTCTTAATATAATAAAGATTTATACTTTAATAAGTTATATTAATTTTTATATTATTTAAATATAAACTTTATTTATACTTTATTTAATAAATATAAATAAACTTTAAATATATATATAATAATATTATAAATAAAATAATTTCTTTTAATAATATAATTATTATATTAATATTTAAAAAAATAAAGTTATTTATAATTTTTCTTAAATTAAATTATTAATGTTATATATTTTTTTAAAAAATAAAAATAAAAAAACTTTATTATTACTTTAAATACTTATTAATAAATTAATTATATTAAATATTTAAAAAAGTTAATAATTTAAATATTAATAAATAAATAATAATAAAAATTAAAAAAAATATATTATTATTATTAAATAAATAAACTTATATTTAAATATTTTAAGTTTATATTATATAATAATTATAAGTTTAATTAAAAATCTTAATTAATATAATATATTTAAGTAAATATTTAATTTATTATATTATAAATTAAATTATTATTTTTTAAAAAATAAAATTTTTAAAGTTTATATTTATAGAAATTATATAATAAATATTATAAATGCTTTAAATTAATATATATTAAGAATTATTAAATATAATATAAAAATAAACTTTATATTTTTAAAATTTTATTTAAAAATATAAATAATAAAAATTAAATATAAATAAATCTTTATAAAAATATATTAATTTATTAAGAAAGTTAAAAAATATTATTAAGCTTTAAAATAAAAATATAAAATCTTATAAATTAAATTATATAATAATATAAATAATAATATTATTTTATAAAAAATTATAAAAGCTATTAATAATATTATTAAATTAAATAAATTAATTTTTATATTTTTAGTTTTTTAGTTTTTAATACTTATTTAAAAATATTATAAGGTAATATTATTATTATTAATATAAAAATATTATAAAAAATATAATTAAATAATAAATATAAAATATATTAAATATTAAAGTTAAACTTATTTTTAATA